CAGTTTCAAACTGCTGACCTCACAGTTCGCAGCCCAATACATAACCACTGTGCCACCAGGACTCCCACTTTCCTATTAGGATGACACACAAAAATTCACTGTAGTCAAATCATTTCTGACTCCTCACCGCCCTATAGGACAGTAGATCTTCCGCTCTGGGTTTCCGGAGACGGTCAATCTTTACAGAAGTAGAAAGCCTCCTCTTTCTCGCTCAGAGCAACTGGCAGTGTGCAATTGCTGACCTTGCAATTAGCCACCCAGCGCATAACCCACTACGCCCTGCCTGGTAGGTCAGCTGGTACAAAGGAGGGAATCTGGAGATTCAACACAGCCAAAAACCAAGGGCCTTGCCTCCTCTTGATAGACAAAATAAAAGGCATCGAGTGCCTGCCAACAGACTAAATCCCTGCACCTGGTGTCAACCCCACTACCACCTTAAATGAAGGGCGCTTCAGAAAGTTCATGGAAACATGAAGTTGAAAGGTAATGGAATTTCTCCATGAATTTCTGAAGGCCTTCGCACCCGCATCAAGGAGTGTCCCCCATTGTTGTTTGGAACGTGTGCACTTCTGTTTAGCACCCGTTCAGGGGGTGACTGTGAGCATCGGCAGCAGCCCTGCTCTTACTCGTGGTCAGGTTTCCGGGGTGTGTTGAGCAGGAGCCCAAAGTCACAAGATGGGCTGATCATCAATCACAAACCTCTGCTGTGAGCCCCTAACCTCTCTAGACTGCAGTTGCTTTGTCTGTGACAGGGGGCAGCTGGGCCAGATGACTGTGGCCATTCTACACTAATGGCCCCTCCAGATGAGGCAGGAAGTTACTCACAGGGAGGTCATTAAGGGGCTGGGTGACTCAGCCCCCGGGGCAGGAAGAATACCAGACTCCCTGAAGCCCTGCTCAAGATGCAGTTTCCTCCCCAAGGTTTGAGGCCTCCTCCCTCTGAGAGCACCCCCACAGCCCCGGTGTATCCCAGCACCCACTGGGTGCGTGCCTGCTGGGGAGGGTGTCCAGCGCTACTACCTTCACCCACTCTCGTGGACTGGGGAGCACTAGTCCCAGCCACCAAGCAGCCAAAGCCCACTCACTGCCATGAAGTGGATGCCGACCCCCAGCAATCCCACCAGACAGTGTAACGCTGCTCCTGTGCATGTATTTCCGACACTGTAATGCTTAACAGGAGTAGAAAGCCTCATTTTTCTGCCATGGAGAGGCTGATGGTTTCCAACTGCTGACCTTGAGGTCACCAGCCCACTAGAGGGAAGCAGTGAGCAAGGTCTACTCTTAAGTATTTAGTGTGCACCAGCCACTCGTGCATCCCAGGTCTCGGGTGATGCACTGGGGCACGGAGGCCCAGCAAGGGGAAGCAAAGGGCCTGTGGTCACGGTGGGAATCCCAGCACCTGTAGGGCCGGAACCAGGAATACTCTGCATTCAGTGTCTGCCGTGGTCCCACGAGGGCCACAGACCCTGGCTCAAAAAAGCCCCCTCCTGTTGGGTCCTCTTCATGTTCCATTTTCAGTGCAAGTTGTAAAGATTTCCCTTAATCCTCCTAGAGTACGAGCGAGATCTGTTCCTAACTTATGACTTACTTTACTTTGCTGTGAGAAAGGGAACCCTGGTGGATAAGCACCGGACTGCTGTCTGCAAGACTGGTGGTTCAACCCCACCAGCCGCTCCAAGGGAGAAAGACGAGGCTGCTGCTGCCGTAACAATTTGGGGTCAGAAACCGTAAGGAGCAATTCTGCTCTGTCCTGGAGTCAGAATGAACCCAACAGCGGGGTCTCATGGCAAAAAGTACCTCAGGGCCTCTGCAGTGACTTAAAAGCTGCCTGTGCCGCAGGCCACTGTGCCCGAGGAAGGATGTGCTACAAGCAGGTTGGGCTCAGTGCTTTCCAAGCGAGAGCAGATTCGCATGAAAGGGCAAGTCTCAGATGTGTGGTCATCATCAGCGGGGACTCACTGTGTGCACCGCAGTGCTAAGTCCTTGGTGAAAAGCCACTGACTACGCGTTGTGTAGAAAATTAGAGGAATCCCTCTCGGTGAACATCCGCGGTGTGGAAGGAGAGAAATGCCATTGTAGAGTAATCCTGCAACTTGAGTTTCTGCTTCCTACTTACCGGAACTCGTTTGTGAAAACCGTTCCCCCTTTAAAGTTAACCGCCTGTTAGTGAAAAGGAACTGTTCCTACTAATTGGAAGACTCCTGAGGGCAGGAACCCTAGTTGGAGGTTACAGTGATGGACCAGGAGCCCTGGACTTATGTTTCTGGTTCCTTCACTGACTTGCTGTGTGGCCTTGGGCAGTGTTCCCTAATTTCTCTGGGCCTCTTCCCCTCCCCCAGAAGAAGGTGCCCCACAAACTCTTGTTGGGCAATGCCAAAAGATCAAAGACTTTTGCAGAGCTTGTTAAAGATGCCCAGGTGAAGTACATGAGAAAAGCCTTAATGCAGAGGTTCTCAACCTGTGGGTCGCGACCTCTTTAGGGGTTGAATGACCCTTTCACAGGGGTCACCCGATTCATAGCAGTAGTAAAATAACAGTTATGAAGTAGCAATGAAAATGATTTTATGGTTGGGGGCGGGGGGTCTCCACAACATGAAGAATTATATTAAAGGGTCGCAGCATTAGGAAGGTTGAGAACCGCTGCCTTAATACAGTAGGTAGATCCTTGGTCAGAATTGGCCAATGGAGGATGGATGAAGCCACCATTGGTAATGACCATCAGTTGTGCATCGGCTGCGTCCTACCTTGGTGTCTGGACCTGGTGGCAGGCTCTTGGTGACTGCTGCTCGCCTGGTTAGTAGTCACACTCAGCCACTGTCACCAGGACTCCTTACTTAAAGGAAAAGCTTGGTTTGTGTTTGACTTTCCAGGGAGCAGGGGTGGGGTGGGGGCATACTGAGGAGGAGTTTCCAGGGAGCCACCCACTCTCAGCCTTCTGCTCCGGGGTTTTCATCAGGCCTGGAAAGGGGGTGGGGAGGGCAGGCTACAAACAAAAGGCATGAGTGTGTTTTCTGCTCAAGCATGATCCCACCCGGTTTAGCTTTCTTTCCTTCTGGTTGAGAGAAGAAAGCTCTTGGAGACTGAGAAAGCTGACCTCCCTAGGAGTGGACCCCCTTTTTTCCCCATGTGCAGGTGACCAGCCTGGGTGGGACCAGCCTTGCCATTTGGCAGGTGGAAACTTAAAGGCAATACTGTAACTCGCCTAAGGGCAAACGTCTTAGACATAGGGCAGACTGGGTTCAAAGCAATATAATCAGACTCCTAACTTCATGATCTAGTCCTCTGTGGCTCATGCTGCCGATGTCGATGTGCGGTCTGGTTAAGTCAGCTGTTTGGGGGCTGTGGCAGAATTGGGGGAGGGGAGGGTGTTTACCCATACCATACAAACAAGGGTTAGAGAGGAATTTGGGGTGGTCCCACTCACTGCAGGAGTCAGTGTAGCAGAGCCTCACCTAGGCAGGCCAGACACAGAGCCATGTGTTTGACGGCTCTGAGCCGTCATCTGACCTGGGACCAGGCACAAAGCTCTGTGAGCCAGTGTCAGGCTTTGGGTGGCTTGATTTTCCTGAATGTCTCACCACTCCCTGGGAACGGAGGAAGAAAAGCATGTGTTCTTTGTGCTTCCGAGTGTGGAAAGACATCATAGATGCCCCATCCCTGCATAAACAAAACCGTGGTAACGTTCTGCCGAGCAGGGTCGGAAGGTACAAGAATGCTGCCATTCTACAAGCAGTGCTCGATTCCAACCCAGCATTGCTCAGGGTGGAACCCTGGGTCAAGGGTTGAGTGGTGCCCTGGGTCTGGGATGGCCAGGCTGGGTCTTTAAGGTGGAGAAAACATGAGCAAGTCAGAGAACAGGAGCCCCGGATGCCAGGACTTAGGATTTGAGGTGCGACCCCAAAATGTGTATGCCTTAACTGAGTGAGCAAAGAAAAGGGAGGGTTGAACCCCAGGGTGAACGCAGCCAATGCTCAAGGGGGGGGGTGGCAGGAGTCCTGATCTACCCTCTTTTCAGCTAGATAAACGCAGACTCTAAGTATAATGTTGAAGGTGATGCGACATCGGACCAATATAAAGGATGTATGCCTTTGGGTATCTCGTAGAGGGCTGAGTAACTTCTGTTTCATCTCTTGGAAGAAAAGCCATTCGGGGAGCAACTGATTCAGCCCTAATGACATCCAGGGCTGCCAGCCTTCGTTAGCTAAGCGCACTGGGCGGGGGGAGGACTGGGCCGGGGAAGGACGGGTGGAAGGACAGCTGGGGCCTGAGGGTGCCCAGAGGCCCCTCGGGAGCGCTGTCCCCATCCCCCTTCCACAAGGGCTTCCGTGGCGCTGCCCAGCCCCCTCCCTGGCGCCCCAGCCCCTGGCACCCCTGGGCAGCGGCAGCCTGGCAGCAGCGCCTTTCCCGCGGGTTTCTTTTGTGTTGCACGAGCTAGAGGGGGCTTGAGCGGCGCACACTGCTACCTAGAGTCGCCCACCCCCGAAATCAGGCCCCCGCAGCCCCCGCCCTGCTCGCTCAGAGCCCGGGGCGGGCGAGTCCGCGCGCTGACACATTAGTGGGCAGGAAGTGGAGTCCCGATGGGAGGCTGGGAATTTGACCGCCTTCCCATTTCAGCACTGGGAGGAGGAAGCTCAGTTCAGCACTGCACGCAGATGGCTCCTGGCGCCTCCTGAGAACGCCTCGCTCCCCTCGCCGTGGAGGGAAAAGCCGGCCACGCGGGGAACTGTCTTGGAGCATTAGACAAAGGCGAGCCAAAGGGGAAGAACTTGAAAAGAACTTGTTTTGTGCCCGTTAAGAGGCCTGCAGGAAAACCCACACCCACCTTTGCCCAGTTTGGAAGTGTGTGTGTGCATTTCCAGCCAGAGGCAGAGAAGAGACAAACACTGAGCGCTCTGGGCTTTGATAAGGCAACGGCAGGTCACAGAAGTTAGCCCGCCAAGGGACGGCCCCGCCGGGAGCCACCGTACTCCTGGACTTAAACCGAATTGTTTTCTGTCCAGATATTCCAATGGAGACAGCTGGAAAACCTCTATTTCCGAGAAAAGAAGTTTTCCGTGGAAGTGCATGACCCGCGAAGGTAAGCTAGCTAAGTCTCCCTTTCTTGTCTAAGTGCATGGGGCTTGCAGCGACGGCTCTAGCTTGCAATGTCATTTACACTAAGATTGTGCTGTTGCGGCTTCTGTTCCTGGTGGGGGGTGGGGGTGGCGGGCAGTGGAGAATAGAAGGGAGTGCAGATCCGCCAGTCGGCCAGTTTGTTGTTGGCTCAGTAAGGTGGGCTCCAGAGGATCAGAGAGAGATTAGCATTTGCAGGACCTTCTCATCTGAGTGCGTGCAGCTGCATGCTCGTGTGTGTGTGTGTGTGTGTGTGTGTGTGTGTGTGTGTGTGGTGTCTCACAGCTGCATGCTCCTGTGTGTGTGTGTGTAGTCGCACACCCTCGCTGGGATGGGACATCGTAGGGAGGCTTGGTCTCACTCCATAGCTGGTACCCACTAAGCTGGGGAGCGGTGGAGGTCCTTGTAGGAAGTTTTCACCCGTGAGGAGCCCGAAGGATGGAGGCCTTAAGAGTTTCTGAGCAGGTCTCAGGTGGGGCCAGCCACACCAAGAGCATTTGTCTGCAAAGAACGCAGTTGTGCAAATTGGCTTTTCCCGCCACCAGCTGTAATTTTAGGGTGCTAGGGGTTGTGGGTAGATGAGAAAGAAACACAGTGATGTTTCTCTACTCCCCCACCCCCAGCATTGTCTTCCCGAAACGAGTATTTAAAATGTATGCTCTCTAAGCCAGATGCCAAACAATAGGGTCCCTATGTGGAATGTAGCAAGCCCTGCCTGGAAGGGGCTGCGGCTGCTTCGAGCACTGGGCTCCCTCTCTTTGTCTGCTAGCAGTCCCAGGACTGGATGCAGCACACACAGGTGGTAGCAGGATGCCCTGCAGACAGGCCTGGACCTGGGCTTCGGGTAGGACGTACACAGGTTTACAACCAGGAAGTAACACCCCCTATCGCCACCCCACACACCAGCAGGCGGTAGACCTGGGCATCTCTGTAAGGGTGTTAGGCATCGTTGACACCCAGCCCTGGCCCTGGGAGGCAGTCTGGCACCAGCTCCACCCCATACAGGGCCTCTGAGCATCTCAGAACTAGCTGCCAGGCCTCCCAGGGAGTTCTCCACCCAAGAGCTAGTGAGACCTTGCCCTCCAGCCAGCTGGCTCAGGCCCACACAGCGTCATCACTGCCCCTGAGGCCCAGATAGCCCAGCAGGCTGACCGGTAATCGGAGTGAAACAGGCAATCCCTTTGTAGGATTAGCGCTTATCCTGAGCCACCCAGCTCCCTGGGGGACCAGAGAACATTTGTCGAACCCAGATCCCTGCCATCAGGCAGAGGCAGTTGTATTTCACAGGAGAATAACTGGCTCAGCATTTCTCAGAAGGGCATCCGATCCAAAAACTCTGCCTCTGGAGAGCAAGAACCCATTTGTTGGGGCCAGTGAGGGAGAGAGACATGCTGAAAACAACAGGCCGGCATGAAGGAGCATGTGTGCTTCTTCCAGGTGAAAGCTGGGGGGGCTTGGTGCTGAGGAAGAGGAATGAAAGGAAGGGAACATGCACAAGTAGAAAGAGCAAAGTGAATGTTGTGAACATGAATCAGATGCAGAGAGGAGATGACTCCCCGGTGGGGGGGGGGGCGGGCTAAAAAGTGGATCATGTAAATGGATGTATATGGAGGGACACTGATGGTGTCATGGTGACACATCAGACTGCTAACTAACTTCAAGGTCAGCAGTTCGAAACCACCAGCCCCTCCTCGGAAGAAAGATGAGGCTTTCTACTGCTGTAAATAGTTATAGTCTTGGAAACCCATAGGGGCAGTTCTACTCTGTAGGCTCATTGTGAGTCAGCATGGGCTCGATGGCAGTGAGTGTGGGTTCTGGAAATGGACGCACAGAGTCGCATGTCTGTGCTCTGCTGAGAGTTCTGACCCACAAGCACCTTGAGCAAATGCTGAAAGAGGGGTGTGTGTGTGTGAGAGAGAGAGAGAGAGAGAGAGAGAGAGAGAATGTAGGGGAGAATGTGAGTATGAATGAGTTTGGGGAGGAGTGTATCTGAGTGAATGTGAGTGGAGTGTGCATGTGTGCGTGTGTCAGTAAGTGTAGGGGAGAGTGTGAGTATGAATGAGTTTGGGGAGGAGTGTATCTGAGTGAATGTGAGTGGAGTGTGTGTGTATGCCTGTGTCAGTAAATGTAGGAGAGAGTGTGTGTGTGCATGCATGTAGAGAGAGAAAACGTGTATGAGAGGGGAGTGAGTAAATGTGGGGAAGTGTGTATGAGTGAGCAAATGAGTGTGTGTTCTCTGGGTCTGTTAGCCTGTCCCTCGTGCCATACTAAGCTCCCTTCCCTCTCTCCAGACTCAGGGACATGGGGAGGGGCAGCCCTCACATAGCCAGTTGTGTGCTACAGAGGGTTTCCTGTGGCTGGATTCTCCGAGGCAGACTGCTAGGCCTTGCTCCCAAGGCACTTCTGGGTAGATTCACACTGGCAACCTTTTGGCTAACAGCTAAGCATGCTCATCATTTGCATAACCTGAGGTCTTCAAAACTTCACATAGGACTACTAAATGACCATTGTTTTTCAGCTTGTAAGCGAAATAAACTATCTCATATTTGTCCAGTAGCTGCTATGGCCAGGGCCTTGTGTTGGGAGCAGTGGGCAACAGAACTAAGTCTGAAACGAGGCTTCCTGCCCTTGGAGGGCCCCTGGCATAGTTGGGGAGACAGGCAAAAGAAGAAATTTGCATTTCCGGCTCACTACATGCAGGCAGGGATCCAAAACCTCCACACACATGGCGTCCCGGGATCCTCACCATAACACCAGCAGATTGGGATACTTATCTCTTCTGTTCTACATTGGGAAGAACAGAGGGATCAGGTAGCGTGCACTATTACAGATAGCTAGTAAGTGGGAGAGGCGGGATTTGAAGCCGGCCTGTGCTCTTCACCCATGTGCCAGACACAGGCCAGTGTGTGCTCAGTGCCAATGGCACAGGCTGTGCCCAGTACGCAAAGATAAGGTCGCCAGAGACCTGGCTTGTTGGAGAGGCCTGAGCGGAACCTCAAAGGGGGCCCAGGCTTGCAAGAGGTGAGATATATACCTCGCAGGACCTCCAGGGGGCCAAGATGCAGAGATAATGAGATAAGCCCCCAGTCAGTGCCTACCTTCGTTTCTGGGGTTCATGGTTGTGGTTGTTAGCTGCTGTCAATTGGGGCCCCAACTCATGGCAACCCCACAAACAACAGGGCACGTCATCTGTAGAGCTGCGTGCTTTTCGGGAGTAGGTAGGTCGCCAGGCCTTTCTTCCTAGTTTATCTCGGCACTATAGAAACTTGTTTAGCATGCTAGCCTTAGTGACTGCTCTTGAGGTGCATTGGCCGGGAATCGAACCTGGGTCTCTCACATGGAGGGCGAGAGTTCTACCACTGAGCCACCAAGCTCCCCTGGAGCGTTAGCCAATATGCCAATGCCTAAGGCTTAAAGCAAAACAGAAAAGTGGGTGGGATGGGTAGAGTCTGTAGGGAAAGTGGGGTGCAAGAAAAAACTGATAATGGCACCAGGAGAAAAACTGTCAGCATATCTGATGTAAATGCTTCTGTCCAACTACCCAGATCTGCCAAGCCTCTTTCTCACCTTGTCTGAAAAATATTAGCACTCGTGTTTTACCACTCTCCCTCCCTTTACGAAAATGCATTTCAAGTTACTTCGAAAGACACCTTTTCTAGAGACAGAAGTTTGCTCCCAGGAGCAGCAATTGCTACGAAGCCAAAGGGGTCTTTCTGATGACGGGTTCAGGGTAAATCTGCGGGGATGCGCCTCCTCCAGGACAGCTGTCAGTTCTTTTCTTCCAACCTGGTGCTCTTCCAGGAGCTAGGTGTTGGCTGGTTGGTTGGTGGATTTTTTCCCCCCTTACCTCTGATTTTAACCAAATGGGGGGGGTGGGGAAACCTGTCTGGTATCCTGAACAACCACCAGAAGTTAAGCCCTCTTTAAAAGTGGGTATGAAAAAGCACTGTCGTTTTATCCTTAACCCCCAAAGGAAGGAGCCAGGAATAGCTTTTTCCTCCAGAGGAAATGTGGCCTGAAGAAAAATGCCTGTATCCACTCGTCCTGAGCACTTCAGGTTTCTTCCAATTGCCATACCTTGGTCTCAGGAGCACATGAGCATTGTTCTGATGTAGAGTCCACAGACCCCACACCTGACCTCACTTCCCATCACTGGGTCCTAAACACGTGCACACACACACGCTCACATTTCACTTTCTACATCATCTAGTTCTTCTAAAATACACTTCCCTGAGAACATGCTCATTTCTCCCCTGGCTTTTCTCCCCTCCGACTCCCTGAGCGTGGTGAATCCAGCTAGGACCTGTGATCTCCATGTCACAGTTGGCTGCCTCTCCCGTCACCCCATGTTGAAGCAAACATATGCACAGAGCGTGGCGTGGTCGGGGAGACTGGTGGCCGGGCCCAGCTCTTGGTGCCCTGCCTTCTGAATATACGTGAAATCGATCAGCATCTTTCAAGGAACACTGGGTTCCAGGAATAGGTGAAGTCGGGGTTTCCTCTGGTGCGGTGGCCTGTGACAATGAGAAAGGAATTTGCACAACCTTGCCTGGTTAATGAAGGGCCTTGTCCAAGCCGCTTTCCTGTCTCCAAAGTTTGTGATGGCTCAATGCCAGATGCTGAAGACCAGTCAGGACCATAGTGTGACCCAGAGTGACCCATCTTATCCCAGACAAGGCAGAGACGGAGCCAAATCCTGAACACTGCGTAGTAAATATCTCCAGTGTGTGTGTGTGTGCGTGTGTGTGTGTGTCCTTAGATTTGTGTGTGAGCTGATGTGTTAGCTCCACACCAGGGCTCTGAGGTCCCAGTGCATTCGTCGTTATCAAAGCTCTTACCAACCAGGTGGAACCTTCTGATTCTCACCTTCTCAGGGCCTCGGTGACCAGGAGGACATTTGGCCACAGCGGCATCGCGGTGCACACGTGGTATGCGTGCCCTGCGTTGATCAAGTCGATCTGGGCAATGGCCATTAGCCAACACCAGTTCTATCTGGACAGAAAGCAGAGCAAGGTAAGGCCTCTTGCGCGTGGACCTTTCGCCAAACTGTTAGCTCACCTGGGCACAGGCTGGAGCCACTGTGGACTCTCCTGACTGAGGGATGGAGAATTGGACGGGCTGAGGAGGTTGCATGCCCCTTGCCCTGAAAGATACACAGGTGCCTACTTGCCACGCAGGGCTGTGGGTGAGAGGGAGGAATGGGATTCGCACTTCAAGAAGGCCAGCCACATGCGCCCTGCTCAGGGTGGGCGAGCAAGCCCAGCCTCAGCCCGAGCTGCCTAGGCCTGAGACTGTAGGCCGTTAAGGGATCCTGACCATGATTTTGAACTTCAAGAAATTCCCCTAGGAGCAAGCAATCAGACAGTTTGTGGAGTGTAAAGAGTAGCAGATTCTTTTATTTTTGAAACGGTGTGGGGGGAGGGGTGGGGTGGGGTGTGGCATTCCCAACTAATAGACACCACCTAACTGTTCAAGATAATTGCTCTCCACCCTCCAGGCTTTTTAACTGCCAACTCTGCATTTTATGTTTTGGTTTTTTTTTTAAACATGCAAAACTGGGAAAGTGGAAAAAAAATTTTTTTGCCAGCCTGGTTTCCCTAAGGTAGACCTAGTGCCTTGGGCCTTGGTAAATAGTCATCCTCTGTGGGAGACTTTTACCCCCCCCCCACCGCAGCTGCATTTCTGGTGGGTGGGAGAATGATGTCTCCTTGGTTCACACACAGCTATGTCAACACTCAGCCCCCTCATCCTTGGGGGGCAGGAGGGCTCCCCTGTCTCTCTCCCCACAAGCCACGCCCACTCATTATCCCGGCAGGTAAAAAGCCTTATCAAGATGGGCTCGCACCTTTCTCAGGAGCGGCTGGCTGTTTTCAGGGTGGTGGAAACAGAGTGAGACTATGAGTTGGCAGCCCCCTCTCCCGTGAGACATTTCTCCTGTTAGGTGATTTCTCTGGGGGCAATGCCAGGCCCCAGAGTCACCAGGTGGGATTTTTCTCTTCGGCTGGGTTTTCTTGTGGATGGACTGGCAGGCACTGCGGGGAGTTGGTGGAGGCCATTACAGCAAGTGAGAGAAGAAGAGCCTTAGGAAAGAGGAGGCAGGGAAACGAAACATCGATCCAGGTTGGGACAGATGGAGGGACGCAGTGTTTATTCTGGGCCACTGACCTGGGAGAAGCACAGTCTCTCCCCTGCCCCACCCCTGAGTGTCTTCCCACGCCCTGGGCATTCTCTAGATAAGGGAGCAGAGAGTAGGTTTCAGTGGTTAGAGAGGGGGTGCTTGCAGCTCTCCAGGTGAGGCACAGGAATGTGAAGCCCGCTGAGATCCCAGGAAACGAGGCCCAGTGGTTTGACTCACCCTTGGTGCTGTAGACATTGGGTGGGTGACAGCTGTTTGCTCGCTGGCAGCAGGAGCTGGATGGATCAACCCCTTAGCAGGTTGATGCCCTCCTCTGCCTCATTCAGTGAAGGCCCCCTGAGCTCCCCGAAAGACCTGTGGCCTTAGAAACCTTACAGGGGTCGCTCTGAGGCAGAGCTCAACAGCAGCGGGTATTTCCCGAAGTTTGTTTAGTGAGATGGTGAGGGGCAGACAGCTTGGCACTCTGCCTGCACTCCAGTGCAAATTCCTCTGGCGAGCAGGAACCACCCACGCTGGACTCCGCAGCGTGGAAAGGGTGGACGAAAAACACGTATGGGACCTTTCAGGGTAATCCATGAGCTGTGTGGGAACCGCCATGCTGGCTTTCTGCACAGCACCTCGTGAGGGTAAAGGGGCCTTCTTCTGGTCAGGCCACTGGTGCAACCAGTTAACACCACAAACGCTGCAAGGCCCCTTATTCGCAAACTGTCTTTCAAGTAGTTCAACCAAAGGCCGGCAGAAGTCAAAAACTCAGCGGCCCTCTCAGAGACAGATGGAAATCTGCACACTCCCTGAGGAGGGGAGGTTCTCCCGGCACATCTGGGATGCCCACCCAGCCCTCGCCTTCCTCTGAGGATCCAATTCCTCATCCGAAGGTGACGGGAGGCACACGTACCCAACTTAGAAGCTGGAAGCCGCTGCGCTCCAGCTCCGGGCCTGGGCGAGCCTTTCACTGCTCATGCCTGGCTCCCCCAAGTTAGAGAACAGACAAGGCCATTTTGGACCCACATTATTATTGACTGGTTCCGTGGCACTGTGTTTTAACAATAGCTTTCAGAAATAAGGGCTACCTTATATCACTGCCCTTATTAGTCTAACAGGCTGGTCCCTGGCCAGCACCTGCATACAACTCACTGCATCGAACTGATGCCGACTCATAAGACCCTGCAGGACAGGGTAGAGCTGCCCCTGTGGGCTTCTGAGACTAACTCTTTGCAGGAGTAGAAAGTCTCATCGTTCCCCTTCATTCTTTAAAGGGGGAGGGTCCCCCAATGAAGTCAGGTGATAAAAATTTCCCCCAAGGAATGGTAGCACACCACCTTTGGCTTTGGGGATGCTGCGCCTTTATACAATTGTGCTGAGAGCCACGTCCGGGGGCAGAATGGCCTCCAGGTGAGTGATGGCTGCCGACAGGCCTGAGAGGAAAAGCCTCAAACTATTTCTAAACAGCCAGGGCTGGCTGGCACACGGGCCCTTGCTTCACACTCTACTGTAGAAGCCCGTGCCAACCATTCCTTTCTCTGAAATGCTTCAGCAGAGCCCAGGCCTCCTGAGTGATGTTTATCAACCCCAGAGAGACAAGTGCGATCTAGTGGTTTGAATCAGCCAAGGGAGTAGCCAAGAAGTCTCATGTTCCTCCCCTGGCACTCGGCTATTTGCTTCTTGCATGGCCAGTGTGCAGATCACTACAGAGAAGCAGTTTCTCTGTCTCCCTCACCCACATAGAATGCCAGTGGGACATGAGCATGAAGAGGGTTGCAGAGTTTGCAGAAATCCACAAAACATGTCATGTGCACGTTATTTGTCAAAGCACGTGCTGTGCTAAAGGATCAGAGATGTCAGCTGGATCCCAGCAGCCTTTGTTGTCCCGAGCCAAGGAATGGTTTGTGTGGACTTGGAGGAAAATATTTGAAAGCTCAAGTTGTTTAGAGTAAGCATTGGACACTTACCCTCAAGGGGAGAGACTTCTTGAATGAGTCCCAATTCACAACCCTTGCCTTGTTCTTAATCTCTCTCTCTTCAATGGTCTCCTGCTCCTCCCCTTCTCCTCCCCTCCCCAATCCAGTTGAATATTGTTCATTCCAATTAGAATCAAAATCAGAGTTGAAAAGCTAGAAGGAGATCATTGAACAATGGTCACAGAATAGCAGTAATAAAACTGAGTAACACTGATAGGGCACAGCCCTCATGGCAAGGACTGCAGAGGCTTCTGGGTAAGCCCAACGAGTTGACTTAGGGAAGTGAGAACCTCCCACCAGCCCTCCAATAAGCCTACAAGGTCATCCAGGGAGAATTAGGCAATTCTTAAAGCATCTAAGGAGGCTCCCTAATGGTGTAGTGGGTACTTGTTGGGTGGCGATCAACAAGGTCGGCAGTTTGAAACCATCAGTCTCCCCAAGGGAGAAAGATGGGGCTTTCTACTCCCATAAACAGTTAAACTGTCTGAAACCCATAGTGGATTTGATGGCAGTGAGTTTGTTTGGGTTTAAAAGTTTGTAAGAATCTCGTCTCCCTTGGAAAGCAGATCTGTTACTCCCCTCTCCACATGTTTGGTTTCTGACATCTAAGATTGATGTGAGGGAGGAGGACAGGGCTGGGCTCGGGACAGGTCTTCCATATGGCTAATGAGATCTCCACAATGTCAGCCATCAATCCAACCTCATTTAGTGCATTACTAACCAGACCCCGGTTTATTTCCTATCGCTGCCCCACTCGTAGTGGCCTTCACATCTGTTGTCCCACTCCATCCTTGTCACCACTCTGTGAAGGAGGGCTCTAAGATCCCCATTTCACAAACAGGAATCTGAGGATCAGAGAGGATCTCACCAAAGGTCAAACAGTGATGAATCAGAAAGAGCCAAGAGCCTAAGCTAGGTCTTTCTGACTTCAAAGCCTGGGCCCTTCACCACTCAGCTGCCTTGGTTGGCGTCTCTGTGAGTTCAGTCCTCCATAACTGTCCCCGGGGGCTCCTTTCTATTAAAGCAATGGGCCTGGGAAACGTAAAGAAGCAGTGGACTGTGCTCTCTCTGCTTGCTGGGGAGGGTGAAGCCCACCCAGATGGATGCTGTTGATAGGCTGTTGTTATTTCAAAATGAAATCAATGCTCTTCCTGCTTTCAGCTGCTAGCCAAAAGGCTGAGAACGCCTGGAAGCTGAGATTATTTCATGAACAAGGAAGCCGTCTCTTGAAATGGGCTTAGTTCTGAATGTAAGGGGGAGAAGTGAGGTCAGAAAGGAGGCATACAGAGAGAGCCAGAAGGAAGCCACTCCTTCCCCGGGTCAGCAAAACAGGCAAAAACACACAACATTTCTTCCGCCCCTCCAGTTTGCCTCGTGGGAGGTGAGGGAAGTACACTGCAGTCGGAAGTTATTGTCTCTCACCAACGGACAACATGCCCATGCCAGGGGAAGGACAGCGGCACAGGTGTTGAGACAGCGGCCCGTGCTGGACAGCTGAGGGCCCCTGGGCACAGAGGAAGACTGTAAATAGAGGAGAGCTAGGGCAGTGGGAAGGAGCCCTCGTGACACTGTGGGTTAAGCGTTGCTCCTTGGGACCAAGCTGAGGCTGTGTGCTCTGGTCAAGTTTGAAAGAAACCGTGTGTGCAGGCGCCATGAGCTGGAAAGGACCTGGTGGCAGTGGGTTGGGGTTGGGTTTGGGTTGGGCAGTGGAATACATACTCAGTGCTAGATTGCCCAGTGCACAAGGAAAATGTGGGCTTCCTTGTGCATACTTACTAACCTGGAGTGAAACTTGTTTACATTTTTTTTCCCCACCACATCAAAGATATTGCCGCAAGGTATGGCTGGCATCAGTTTACCACATCACCTGCCCATAGAATCAAAACTTCTTTTCAGATTCCCAAACCCTGGCAGGGGTGAGTGCCCAGTGAACCAGGCAGGCAGAGATATACTTACACCTCTGTGGTGAACGGTTTGACATGCACTTCATAGAACGCATGTGGAACTGTTCTTACAGAGTAGTAAGCAAGCGCAAGTAAGCCTGTGCTTACTTCGATTACTGTGCGATCCACCCCTGGGGGAAGCGGGAAGCCCTTCATGGCCTTCCGACATCTGGCCTACTTGGAGCCAATCACGAAAAGAGATAGTTCTATTAAAAACCTTTACTCTCAAGAGCTTAACTTGAGTAGTGGGGTAGTGGTTACCAGTTGGGCTGCGATCCTAAAGATGGTCAGTTCGAAACCCCCAGCTGCTCGGAGGGAGAAAGACGAGGCTTTCTATGGAAACTCACCAGGGCGGTTCCACCCTGCCCTATAGGGTGGCTGAGTCGGCACCCACTCCAGGGTAGTGAGTCTGGTGTTGGGTTTTGGTATTAACCAGGAAAGATCAGAAAGGAGTGGGCGGAGGCCTTCCGTGGTTTCCCTAGCAACCCTTACGTAGTGGGTGGTGATTTGCTGAGTTTACGGTCCAGGGCGAGGCCCCAGTCTGATTGGCTGGGACCCGAGCTCTTCAGCGCCGTACAGCGCCCCCTGTAGGGCAGCAGGCTCAGACACGCCGTCATGTGGCTCAGCTCGCGACCCACCCAGCGTTTTGACGATTGGTGGCTGGAGCAAGTGACACCAGCATAAAACGCCGCGACCCTGGGGCAAGATGAGCCTGCTCGCTGGGTTCCAGCGGGCCGAGTGGGCGAGGGCGATCGCTGTGATCTCCCAGAAGCCACTGCTACCTGGGCTCCCACCCCGGCCCTCGGTAAGCCTGCTTTCCTTTCGGATTCCAGTCCAAGATCCATGCGGCGAGAAGTCTGAGTGAGATCGCTATTGACCTGACGGAGACTGGCACACTGAAGACCTCCAAGCTGGCCAACATGGGGAGCAAGGGGAAGATCATCAGCGGCAGCAGCGGGAGCCTCCTGTCCTCAGGTAAGCAGGGCCCGGGCCTGTGCTTCCCACGCAGCCGACAGCCTGGCCGGCGCCCACCCAGAGCTGTCCGGCGGCCAGCAGGGCAGCAGCAGCTGGGCAGGCAGCTGCACCGGCTCAGCCGGAAGCTGGCCCGGCTTCCCAGCCCAGGGTTGGAGCCAAATGTGACTTTGAGAGTACTGCCTGTCAGTACCAGTGGGTGAGGGGGGCAGCTCCGCCGTGTGGAAAGGCTATAGGCCACACATTAGACTCCTGGGCCACGCTCAGAGCCCCTCTGAGTGCCGCTGGCTGGTCCCGGGACTCACCGCCCACCACGGAAAGCCCCTGGGACTCACCTGTGTGATGCTGAAGGAGGAGCCTGCTAGCAAAGGGCTCTGGGTCAGGGCCAGGTTGCTGCACTCGGTTCCCAGGAGAATTTCCCCATGCTTGCAAAAGTGCAGAGGATTCCCGATGGATCCTCTGGAAAATGAGAGACTCGATGCCACCAAGCATGGTGTCACCATTAAGGGCATTCTGAAACCCAGAGGCAAAGCCCGGGGCCTGACATCTGCTTCTGCGAGCCTGGGGCAGGTCATTCTGTTACTCGGTCAGAATGAGGAATGCGGGGTTGGGCAGGAAGGCACTGAGCGCTCAGATCTGCCTCCCTTCGCTGAAACGGCAGGGCAAAGACTGGTTTGGAGGAGGGGGTCTGCGATTGGTTGAAAGGTTAGAGAAGTTTAACTGATGAAGGTTGTTATTCCACAGGCCACGCAATCAATGCCTGGTTGTTCTTGGGAGCCACGTAGCCTTGCCTCTGAGCTATGAGCACAAAGCATAACAATACAGTTGCTGTGGCGTCATCTCTGATTCCTGGCAAGCCCGTGGGTGTCAGAGATCTTAGAACTGTGTCCCAAAGGTGTTTTCAGTGGTTGATGTTTCGGAAATAGAACACCAGACCAAGACTAACTCTTTATTTCAGGAGTAGAAAGCCTCATCTTTCTCCTGTGGTGTGGCTGGTGGTTTTGAACTTGTTACCTCCTGGTTAGCAGCCCAATGAGTAACCACTATGCCATCTGGGTTCCTAGAGTGCAATCCTAGCCAGGGAAAAATAGAAAACAAAAGAACTAAGTCATTCCTTTCCTGGACTGAGAAGTTGGTTTGCCCTGCGGCTAATGGAGCTTAAACTCGGTGTCCTTGACTTGTACAGGGCTTTAAAGGCCCCAGCAAGGGCCCCGGCAGTGTCCCTGTAGTCATGCATTGTCAAAGTTGTGGACTCGAGATAGTTTATAGCCTTCTTGTTAAATTGGACGGTTGTGACTCGCAGGGTTTTTCTTCGACTCCCTTATCAAAGTAGGTTGCCAAGCCTTTCCCCCTAGTCTGCCTTAGTCTGGAAGCCCCACTGACACCTGTTTAGTATCATAGCAACATGCAAGCCCCACTAACATACAGATGCTGCTGCTCTGCATAAGGTGCATTGGCTGGATTTGAACTGAGGTCTCCTGCATGGGAGGCAGGATTCCATCACCAAACTACTCCTACCCCCAGAACCACCAACAGTCTATAAGCTCAAGCCCCACCCAACCTAGATCTACCTCTGTCAGGCCCAAAGCTGGTTTGGGTTGGCCAGAAACCCTTTCTTGCTTCAAGATCTTCGAGATTTTTCAGCTATAAAATGGACCAGATAACAGTTACTCCTAAGGATTATAGGTATATTGTGCAAAGAGTGGGGAGCCCTGATAGTGTAACAGTTAAGCACTCGGCTGTGAACCAAAAGGTTGGTGGTGTGGTTGAAACCAGTCAGCAGTTCCACAGGAGACCTGGAGCTCTACTCCCATAAATACGACAGCCTGGAAAATTCCATGGAGCAGCTCTGTCTCTTGGGGTTGCTGTGATTTGAAACTGCCACCTAACAACAGCAAAGGAAGGTGCAGATAAAGCTGTCTCTCATACCAAGGAGAATTCCTCTCAAAGCCTGTGACCCCTGCCTGGAATTACAGCCACTCTAAGTCCCCTGTTGAATGCCAGAGGACAGAGCCCAGAGCCCAACCCTGCATTTGTCTTTCAGAGGCAAAATACGCATACCATGGATTGTCCTGTCTATTGGAAAATCAGTGTCTCAGATTAGAGCCTGAGTTTATCAGCCCACTTTCCTCCTTATCTGGGAATCCAGAACCCAGTGAGCAGGTGAGTCCCTGCTGTGATTCTGTATTATGTTAGAAACCTCAACTTGCTTGTTTACAGAAGGAGAATGAATGACTCTCAAACATAGAAATCCATGGAAAGCTGGTTAAAACAGATTCCCCACCCCAGTTTCTGATCTTGCAGATCTGGGATGAGCCCAAGAATCTACATAGTTAACCAGGTGCCCACTGTACCTGGGGTCTTGGGGAACCAGAGAGAAAGCCTGAGGTGGATGTGATGCTCAGGATCACAGAACCGGGTCTTCCCACTTGGGACCCCATGTCCTCTGCGCCCTTATAGCCAGCCACCTCCAGGGATGCCAAAGCAGTAAACAAAGGGCAGTTAGATGGGAGGCCCTGGGTAGTGCAAATGATCAGCATGCTCTGCTGGTAACCAAAAAGTTGGTGCTTTGAGTCCACTCAGAAGTCCCTCCAAAGAAAGGCCTGGAGACCTACTGGGAAATAGACCCCCGGGAGCCTGGCGCTGACACTCCGGGGATCGTAGGAGTCAGAATTGACTTGAAGGCAACTGCTACTGGTGGCCGTGAGGCTGTGATCACGATCCCCAAACCTCCTGAGGTGAGAACTGAAATCAGGGTCCCCCCCCCCCCGGAATCGGGGTTCCTGCATTTTTAAAGATGGAAAGCAGTTCCTCTTTCTTACTGCCATCAGGCGGTCAGTATCTTCAATCTTCCTGACGAGAAGATACATCAAAGGAGAACTTTCCTACTGAATCCACCCCTTCCACCTAGCGGAAGCCTCTGCTCCGGGGTCTGGCTAGGAACCCTGGTGGCACAGCAGGTTACTCGTTGAGCTGATAACCAGGGGTCAGCAGTTTGAGCCCAGCAGCTGCTCGGCTCTTGTAAAGATTTGGACTCAGAACCACCACCACCACCACCACCCCGGGGGTGGGGCAGCTCTGCTCTGCCCCACACGGTCACTATAGGTGGGCATCGACTCGAGGCCAGTGAGTTTAGCTTTCTGGTCAAGTGCTTTACAGGTGTTGAGGAATTGAATGGCGCGGGCCCCAGTCTGAGCTGTTTGCTTAGGTGTTGGTGGGGGTGGCCATGGCCCCCTGCCCTTCTCCACTGGTGAACTCTGACTCCCTTGGCCCTTTCTTGCCCCCGACTCAGCTGCGCAGCTAAGCAAGACTAAACAAGGGGCAAAAAGGCCAAGCGGTGTGAGTCATACCCCCATGACGAGACTCTGCCGAGCCCCTGCAAGCCGGCGCCTGAAAACTATCCTCTGGTGCAAAGGCGGAGGCTTCTTGGGGATGCGCCCGCCATGACTCGGGAAAGAGTCTGGGCAGTGGGGGAGAGCTCACAAACAGGAAACTTTCCATCAGATAACAAAGAGAATGTCGGAAGTCGACCACGCTTGGCACCACGACCACAGGCACGGTTAATGGCTGCCCCCACCCCTGTACACATACACACACACACACACACACACACACACACACACGCACACGGAGAAGGAAGCTTCAAATGAAGAAAGCCCTTGGCATTTCACTTGGAAGAGGGCGATGTTGCGCACATCACCCACAGCCGGGAAATCTCTCTTCTTGGCTTGACATCCAGGCAGCTGGCTGGTCCTCTGCCCTTGGCTCGTCCTCTGTAATGGCCTTTGGCCTAGTTGCTTGTGGAGGCTCCTTGAGTCCTGGGCCCCCTCGGACCGCGGAAGCCTACACCGAGGGCTTCCAGCAGCCCTGTTTGCACACATTCTCTCATTGTGCTTGTCAGACTACGCGCTAGCTTTTCATTCCGTAAATACGGTACTTACAATTTCAAATCCAACTTGGTAAATTCTTTTCTCTTTTCCCTACTGCCTCCTGCTCAAATAAATACAAGTGGCTCCCAGCAAATGCTCCTTAAAAGTATTTTGAGAAAGAACTCACCCTTTGGAAAAGCCTTCTTCCTAGCCCTAGGCCAGCACCCTGTGGGCACAAGTATTGAAAGTGAATTTTGCAGAATGCTAGTAAGGTTCCAATATGGTGTGCACTTAAAGAACCCTCTATAGAACCACCCTTGGGCTTCGCTAAAAGAGCGCTTGCTGACAAGTCTTAAGGTGACTCAGACAACCCCAGGTGTGTCAGAATAGAACTGTGCTTCATGGGGCTTCTCGTTTTAGCGGTTTCTCGTGGGGGGGGGGGCAGTGAAGATTGCAGGGCAAATCCAATCTCCATCCCACAGTCCATACACACATTTTGTCTCATCTCATGGGTGGCAGTCCTCACGGCATAGCATCACTTATCCCACTGCCTCCCTGGGCCTCCTTTCCGTTCCTCCTCCTCCTCCCCACCTTCTAAACTTCATCCTGGGGCCTGTGTTGCCCTTTTGAATTTAAATGGCTGATTGTTCTGAAGAGGTTGGTATCTCCCGAGTGTTACTGTTCACCTTGCAGATGTGTCTGCTGTTTGGCTGAAAGTTAAACCATGGGAGAAAGTCCCATTTCTGGCCTGAACTGTGACTAAAGGCTATTGTTTCCGGGGCCCACTTTATCTGACCAATAAGTCCTTGACTATTATTATTACTATTTTGAATGTTGTTCCACATTTTTCTGCCACACTATTCGAGGCCCTGTGATGTGATCATTTTCAAGCAGTTGTTCGTGGTGCTGGGCACCATCTAGTTCTTCTGGTCTCAAGATAGTGGAAGCTGAGGTTCTTGCCATCCGTTACCCCACTGGGCTGATTGTTACCATGCATCTTTGCTTTTCTTCCCTCTCCTCTGTGCTGCTGGCTGGGCAGGAAGAGACCAGTGGCTGCTCATTTTTGAGACCCCACTGGCCACTCACTAAAGGAGACCATAGTACATTGTCTTTATGGGCTATCAATAGGGTTTT